AGGCAGGAGAGTCGCTTGAACCCAGGTGGTGGAGGTTACAGTAAGCCAAGATCGCGCCATTGCATTCCTGGGTGACAGAAGAGACTCCATCTCAAAAAAAAAAAAAAAAAAAAAATTTATTGCTCCCTTTTAAACACACTATCTAAAAAATAGATAGTGCTCAGCATTTGGAATAATTTTGTATTACTCCCATATATCAAAATTACATTTGAAAAGTAGATAAAAGTATTTTAAAAGATTCTCTAATTCTGAAAGATTGTCTTCGTAAAGATTAAATCTAGTCTAATAACTTGTAAATTTTGACTTTTGAGGTGTTTGTGAAGGTATTTATGATTAGACTGTTTAAGAGATTAATAGGGCCGGGTGTGGTGGCTCATGCCTGTAGTTCCAGAACTTTGGGAGGCTGAGGTGTGTGGATCACGAGGTCAGGAGTTTGAGACCAGCCTGGCCAATATGGTGAAACCCTATCTCTACTAAAAATACAAAAAATAGCTGGGTATGGTGGCGCATACCTGTAGTCCCAGCTACTTGGGTAGCTGAGGCAGAAGAATCACTTGAATCTGGGAGGCAGAGGTTGCAGTGAGCCAAGATTGTGCCACTGCACACCAGCCTGGGTGACAGAGCAAGACTCCATCTCAAAAAAAAAAAAAGATGAATAGGATAGAATAATTTTTTTTTTTGCTTGAATTTCTAGTTTACTTACATACACTGTATTCATTGCTCTTTTTTCTTTTCTTTTCTTTTTTAAAGGAGTATGGAAGTGCCCAACAGCCAAAAATTCAAGAAAGTGAATTGAAAATTAGTGGTGTGTTTTCAGTTAATGAGAGACCTCTTGGTAAGAAATGGAACTGTATAAGTTAATTACAATTAGTATTTGCTTATTCTGACTTGTAAAATTGAGAGAAAGCATCTTTTCATGTATGTCTTTCTCTTTCTTTAGAGCTGTGGTTTTTCAAACTGTGAGTAACTGGTTTTCAGCAGCATTTTAAAAAATAAAATAGAATAAGATTATATCAGAATATGATATGTATAGTAAGGAAACATATTGTTTCATAAAATTTCTGTTTCAGTGATTGAAGTGAACACACATCCCCACATTTACAAACATATGTATATGAGAACTGGGTTATAATATTAAATATATTTCCTACTTTGAGTCTTGGTGAAAAAAAAAAATTGAAACCTCAGTTTTGGAGTGCTTATTGCCTCATTGATACTTATTGCCTCATTGATACTGGATTTCAAGATAGGGAATTTGTCCTAAAAAAGAGAGACTGGGCCGGGTGTGGTGGCTAACACCTGTAATCTCAGCAACTTGGGAGACTGAGGCAGGTGGATGGCTTTTGCTCAAGAGTTTGAGACCAGTCTGGGCAACATAGTGAGACCTTATCTCTGCTAAAAATTAAAAAAAAATTAGCTGGGTGTGGTGGCGTGTGCCTGTAGTCCCAGCTACTCAAGAGGCTGAGGCGGCAGGATTAGTTAATCCTGGGAGTTTGAGGCTTCAGTGAGCTATGATTGCACCACTGCCTTGCAGCCGGGGTGACAGTGAGACCCTGTCTCAGAAAAAGAAAGAGAGAGAGAGAGAGGGAGAGAGAGAGACTGAGACTGTATATGCGTTAGTATTGATACTAAAACTTTTTTTATTTTGTTTTGATAGCCCAGCAATTGAACCCAGGCTTTCAGCTTTCTTTTACATCATCTGGCCCAAGTGTATTGCTTCCTTCAGTTCCAGCTGTTGCTATTAAGGTTTTTTGTTCTGGTTGTAAAAAAATGCTTTATAAGGGCCAAACTGCATATCATAAGACAGGATCTACTCAGCTCTTCTGCTCCACACGATGCATCACCAGACATTCTTCACCTGCCTGCCTGCCACCTCCTCCCAAGAAAACCTGCACAAACTGCTCGAAGTATAAAATTCTTAACATCCCTTTTTACTGTACCTTTTTTTAATGTGTATATAGTTTAGTTCAAACATGCTGTTGATACTTTAAATCTCTTTAGCATGTATCCGTAGAAATAACTTTTTAGCTAATGGAAGAATTAGCCAATTTTAAAGTTTTGCAACATTAAATAAGTGACGTGGTGTTAGAATGATGATTAAACCAGTTTTCTGTCACTTTAGATTTTACTGTGGAAAGAAATAACAAATGACATGTGGGAATTGCAGGACTATCCTGTAATTGTAGACACCCACCGTTTAAATTTATTTAACAGTTATCTTGAAAGTTATTTGGTATAGCATAAAATAATTTCACTCTTTTAATAGTATATGAAAGCTATTTAATTCTTTAAAAAGTAAAAACTCCACATGGTCACAAAAATGTGTTTATTTCTAATGTCCTTGTGGGGTCATTGTTGCTTTACAATAATGCTTAGATGCAGAGAGAAGAAAATACAGCAACAAAGTCACATAAATCTTTCCCTGCCTTAGTACATTTGAAGGATTTGGCATGTTTTACCTATTACTGTGGTAGTGTAATTTGAGGAATACAGTGTGTTGTTAGTAGTCACTATGGGCAAAAAATGGTAAGAGCTTGCTTTTAAACTGTGGCTCTATCATTTATCTCTGTGACTTCGGACTAGATATTTAACTTTCTAAGCCTCCATTTCTCATCAGTAAATAATAGTTGCTTCCTAGGATTTTAATGAGACAGTGTTAGCACATGGCCTAGCGCACAGCAAGTACTTAATAAACGGAATCCTGTTATTGATAATAAAAATTATATCATGTGTTACTGTTTATAGTTAACATGATAAATATATTAAATTTAATAAATATATGTATATATAATACATATTACTTTGTATACTTAACATATCACTTGTAGGCCCCTATTTTGTCTTTGGCCATGTTTATCTGCTTTGTGTCTTGACCTAAACTATCTAAAAGTAGATCCTGCTATATGGAAATTTCCAGCTAAACAGGAGAGAGGATGTTTTTTTTCTTTGTTGGCCATGCTGGAGTGCAGTGGCATGATCACTGCTCACTGCAGCCTTGAACTCCCTGGGCTCAGATGATCCTCCTACCTCAGCCTTTCAAGTAGCTGGGACCACAGGCGCACACCACCATGCCCGGCTAATTTTTATATTTTTTGTAGAGATGGTTTTGCTATGTTGCCCAGGCTGTTCTCAAACTCCTGGGCTCAAGCAATTAGCCTGCCTCAGCCTCCCAAAGTGCTGGGACTATTGGCATGAGCCATCATACCTGGCCAGGAGAGAGGAATTTTAAAATATTTATATACTCTAAATTAGTTTGTTGCAAAATACCCTTCTAATTAACACTTTTATGTCGTTCTCATGAAACTAATCTGAAGAAGTAAACTTAGTTTTCTATTTTTAGATGTTGTTTCAACATACCAAATATCAAAATAAAATTAAATAATTTTATTTATTTAAAGAACATAACACAACTTATACATCCAAATGCCTATTGTTTTCTTAAAAGTAGTCACCCCGTCAGTGACTTTTTAGCATAAGATTAGGGGACAGATTCTTATCTTTTCCGCATGCATTTGATTTTTACAAATTTTCAAAGGCGCTTGATACCTTAATCAGGCTAATATAGTAGCTAATTAAATTGAGTCATACTGGTAAAACATGAGATTTATAAAATTAAAAGTTAAAAAATAGTCTAAAGGTTTATCTTAAGTTTTGTCTTAAAAAATTAGAAAAACGTTTGAGCTATGTTATTGTTGGAAGAGGTGTGGTTTTTCTAAGGTAAATGTTATGGTATAACACTCATTTGAGTGTGTAAAGTTCAGAGTACATTTATAATTTATGTGCACAGATTTTCATTATAAAATTACTCTCTTTGATTTACGTATTTTTACTTACTATTTTTTTACTTATTATGCCACTGGCAGATTCACCTTATTAAGTGAAACTCTTAATTGCTCTGTTTTCAGTAGAAAAATCACTTTTCAAAATTAATACTTCATCTGTATATTATAAGCATATTCTTTTGGTTTCCAAGATGTGCTGTCGTATTTTTACAGTTGAGTTTTAAATAATTAAAATAATTTTCATTGTTGTTATTTTCTCATGGTTTACCATTGAATACACCTGTATAATAAAGGTGCTAGATGGGAGGCACCATAGTGGAATAATTAATTCCATAGACTAGAGTCAGACTACCTGGATTTGTATTTCAGCTTTACGGCCTACTAGCAATATGATTTTGACAAGCTGTTTAACCTCTGATTCAGTTTCCTCATCTGTAAAGTGGCAGTTGCAGTAATACTTAACCTCATAGTAGTTTGGGGATTTTTTTTTTTTTTTGAAACAGGGTCTCACTCTGTCACCCAGGCTGGAGTGCGGTTGTGTGATACCACCTCACCACAGCCTCTGCTTCCTGGGCTCAAGCAGTCCTCCCAGCTCAGCATCCTGAGTAACTGAGACCATGGGCATGAGCCAGCATGCCCTGCTAATTAAAAAAATTTTTTTGTAGAGATTGGGTCTTGCTGTGTTGCCCAGGCTGGAGTGCAGTGGCATGATCATGGCTCATTGGAGCTTTGAACTCCCTGGGCTCAAGCAATCCTTCTGCTTGGCCTCCCAAAGTGCTAGGATTATGTGGGTAAGCCACTGCACTCTGTCATTTTTGTGGTATTTAAATTGGATAATTTGAGTAAAGAGAATAATGCTTGGTGCATAGTAATTACTCAACACACTTATTGTAGTATATATTATAGTCATTATTATATACTTTGCCATTTACTTTGTGGCCTGCACTAGTGTTTATAATTAGTGACTATTTCCTTTAGTTTTTATACTTGTCAGAAGAATGGCAATACTTAACCTCTGTTTTACCAGGGTATTGCTATTTGTGCTTATTGCAATAATTAGCTTTTACAAATTGGCTCTAGGAATCTCACAGAACCACTCAATTATTTTTGTTCTTCCTATCTCGTTCCTGTTTCCATCTGTCCTCTGATACAAAGCCTTAACAGCCCTTTTGTCATATGTTTCTTTGATTTTTTCAGTTATAGCTAAATATTATATATCATGCTTATTTTTTGTATTCTGGTAGCTCATTTGTTTCTCAAAATCTTGCACTTTCAACTTTTAAACATTTCGTTTATTGTCTTGGCTGGATGTGGTGGCTTGTGCCCGTAATCCCAACACTTTGGGAGGCCGAGGCAGGCGGGTCACGAGGTCAGGAGTTTGAGACCAGCCTGGCCAATATGACGAAACCCTGTCTCTACTAAAAATACAAAAATTAGCCTGGCATGGTGGCATGGGCCTGTGTCCCAGCTACTCAGGCAGGAGGCTAAGACAGGAGAATCGCTTGAACCCAGGAGGTGGAGGATGTAGTGAGCCAAGATCGTGCCACTGCACTCCAGCCTGGGCAGCAGAGTGAGACTCTGTCTCACACACACACAAAAAAATTCATTTATTGTCTCGTTTCAGTTCTACTTTGGGCAGCCTCTGGCTAGTAAGAGAACCAGTGTCTTGTGGTCTGGAGTTGTGGGATGGACACTGACTGGTCCCATTGGCTACAGCAGATGAAACTTGGTTGGGGCTGGAAGCCTTCCTATTTTTGTTTTCAGCATCTGGCTGGCTGTGTGTGTGTGTGTGTGTGTGTGTGTATATATATATATTTTTTTTTTTTTTTTTTTTTTTTTTGAGATGATGTCTAGCTCTGTTGCCCAGGCTGGAGTGCAGTGGCACAATCTCGGCTCACTGCAACCTCCGCCTCCCGGGTTCAGGCGATTCTCCTGCCTCAGCCTCCCGAGTAGCTGGGATTACAGGCACCCACTACCACACCCAGCTAACTTTTGTATTTTTAGTAGAGACGGGGTTTCACTGTGTTGGCCAGGCCGGTCTTGAACTCCTGGCCTCATGATCCGCCCACCTTGGCCTCCCAAAGTGCTGGGATTACAAGCGTGAGCCACCATGCCTGGCCCTGGCTGGTTATATTTTAAATAGAATTCGCTCTTGACAAATTTATGAATTAGGTATTATAAACCCCATTTTATACATGAGGAAATTGAGATAGTAATTACATCATTCATTGTCACTCACCTGATAAATAGCAGAACTGATCATCAAACCAAGCTTTGCAGACACCTTATCCTTTTTCTACCATACAATACTTGCCCTTAGTAAGTGTTATTTCAGCTCACAAAGAGGAGGAAGTTACAATTGTGAAGAATACATTTCATTTTTACCTTTGTTATTTATTTTTAGAGACATTTTAAATCCTAAGGATGTGATCACAACTCGCTTTGAGAATTCCTCTCCTAGCAAAGATTTCTGCAGCCAATCATGCTTGTCGTCTTATGAGCTAAAGAAAAAACCTGTTGTTACCATATATACCAAAAGCATTTCAACTAAGTGCAGTATGTGTCAGAAGAATGCTGATGTAAGTTACATTTTACTTTTATTGGGATTCTGCTCAAAGAGATTTTTTTTAGCTGGCTCTGCTTATTTTGTGTATGTGTGTGTGTGTTTATTTCCTAGACCCGATTTGAAGTTAAATATCAAAATGTGGTACATGGTCTTTGTAGTGATGCCTGTTTTTCAAAATTTCACTCTACATACAACCTCACCATGAACTGTTGTGAGAACTGTGGGAGCTATTGCTATAGTAGCTCTGGTCCTTGCCAATCCCAGAAGGTTTTTAGTTCAACAAGTGTCACGGCATACAAGCAGGTATGAATATCTATTTGTTGCATGTAGTTAGGCCCACTCCTTCTGATTTGGCTGCACAGGGATGAACTAAATGAGAGTGAGTTCCTTCCATTAGTCCATCCTGATATGTGATTTCCCTTCTAGAAAATGAGATATATTCTGATGGTGCGAGGGATGATTGTGATGGTAAGTTGATATAGGTAAAATAAGTCCCTTTTTAAAGGCTCCCTTCATAGCTAAGAATTCACAAATGAGATTTCTTTTCTTTTCTTTTTTTTTTTTTAGTTAAGATGGGGTTTTGCCATGTTGCTCAGGGCGGTCTTGAACTCCTGAGCTCAAGCCATCCACCCACCTCAGCCTCCCAAAATGCTGGGATTACAGGCGTGAGTAACCACGTCCCGGCCTCAAATGTAATTTCATGATTTTCTTTGAGCATGAAATATTTTGTGATGTATTGATAGCAAGAATACTGTATTATAAATAAGCCATCCACTGCACTCCAGCCTGGGCGACAGAGCAAGACTCCGTCTCAAAAAAAAAATAAATAAATAAATAAATAAATAAGCCATAAACAAGAGTTAAGATGATAAAATCAGTGAATCTAAACAAAGCTTGTCTTTTTCATTTTAAAATGTGTTTGGGAATGAATTGTAATTATTTGGTCAACACTGTCTTATGAGAATACTTCAAGTAATTTTATTTATTGTAATGAATAAATGCAGTAAGCTTGTTACTAAATATATCACCTTGTGTCAATTTAATTATTACTGATTTGTGGTTTTAAAAAGTTTTTCTTAAAGATGTAAAGATGTATCTTGTAAATGATAATTAAACTTTTTTTCAGTTAGCAAGTTTGATTTGTTACTTTCTCTGAGCAGTTGGTAATGGACATATGGACATTCATCACTGAAAATAATCTCTTTTTTTAAGAATTGCCATTTTTGGCAGTCTGGTTACTACTTTCACAGGAAAAGAATCCATGTTATTTTATATATGATCCCAAAATGAGTTCCATTTCTAATTTTGTTACTAGTATTGTGCTGTCTTTTTACTAGGAAGATTATGTCATGAAACCTCAGAATTTATATTTTCCTACGATTTCCTTTCATATTGAGAGACCTTATAATGTGTCACTGACAGGGTAGTGTAGTGGTTAGGAGCCTGAACTTTGGAGCCTGATGAAATGAGTTTAATTTCCTACTTCTTCTGCTCATCTGTTAATTTAATTAAAGTTAATTTGAACTTTTTGTTAATGTAATTTTTGAGAGCACTTCACTCTGTCGTTAAAAGGATTCTGTGACACACTATATATCAATTGCTTAGCCTGGGGCCTGGCTCATGATACGCATTTAGTAAGTTATAGTATTGGTTATGTAAATGGTAGCTATTTTTATTATTTCTTAAAACATGAATAAACTTATGAGTAGATTTTATTATGAAACTCAGCTTGAAAAATAGATCGTTCTGTAGGATCTCTATTAATATACATTAAGTATCATTTCTATCTCCTGCTGAAGAATCTCACAAATTAAGTAACCTTAAAGGTGGTAGACTCTTCTAGATTGATGTACAAGACTATACCGAGAATGGCCCTTTGGTTCATGGATTCGCTGGTCTTCTCTGATTATTGGTGATGAAAAAGTATGTAATGATTACCTAATTCATTACTTGTGTTTGAATTAATGTGTTTTGTTTGCTAAGATCTCTATCTGAGTAGTTACTAATTTCTTCAGTTTCTATTTTATTACTGTCTGGAAGAACTTATTTTCCCACCTCCCAATAGTGTGGTTTCATCATCATGCTCAAATATTTCAACCAAGAGCTGTGGTTGTAGGTAGCTTTTCTTTTTAGTTTTTTGAACAATATGTAAATATGTATGCTTGTACTAGGTATCTAATGTTCTTTTATTTTAATAGAATTCAGCCCAGATTCCTCCATATGCCCTGGGGAAGTCATTGAGGCCCTCAGCTGAAATGATTGAGACTACAAATGATTCAGGAAAAACAGAGCTTTTCTGCTCTATTAATTGCTTATCTGCTTACAGAGTTAAGACTGTTACTTCTTCAGGTAATGTTTAAATTTGATAAATTTATATATTTAATAACTATTGAAGAAAAATGTAACTGCTTTTCTTTGATTTTGTTACAAGCTAAATTTATCTCGTTAGTTAAATAAAGACCCAAGATTGACTTTTAAATAACTGACTTGTATGTGAAAATAGTTTTTCACTGATTTTCTTGGTTGCAATATATACAGTATTTTATAGTTTCATATGTGAGAAGAAAGAAAAAACACTTAAAATTTCCAAGTTAGTTTTTGTCTAAGTGGGACTTAATAGAGGTTAGTTATAGTTAGATTTCAGATTTTTGTAAAGTTCCTTGATTTTTTTGGTATATTATTATTTAATTTTTTCATTCTCCCAATACATTTTTGTATTGTTTGTTCATTGGTATAACTTAATCATTGTTTTTTATTTTTTGTCATCAAGGTGTCCAGGTTTCGTGTCATAGTTGTAAAACCTCAGCAATCCCTCAGTATCACCTAGCCATGTCAAATGGAACTATATACAGCTTCTGCAGCTCCAGTTGTGTGGTCGCTTTCCAGGTATGATCTGAGGTAGCACATCATGCATGTGATTCTCTTAGGCATTGATCTGTGGCACAGTGTTAACTGCTGAAGGCCTGTTCTTATGAAAATTTAAATTTGAATTAAAAAGAAAAAATTTGTTTTGTTTCATCCAGGGTCCCAACCAGGTCATTTCTATAAAATATCTGGACCCAGATATTGGGTCTTAGCAATTTCTTCTTTATTTAGGATACTTGCCTAAACTGTCATTCCCTCCCACTTTCTCCCTTGGGTCTCTCCCCTTCACAAAGATGGAAGCTAGGATTATGGTTTGGGTAGGTGGTATGGTGAAGAACAGTAGTCTGATGGGATTCACATGCCCCTTCCTCTCTCATCCTGGGTCAGATACCTAGTGACTCCTGGCATGGAATTGTAAGCATCCACTTGTCCCATTTTCTCCTCCCTCTCTGCAATACACACACAGAGTAGAGTTTAGTAATCTCCCGGGTAGGAACATGCGTGATGCAGTATCCCTGGCATTAGGGAGAAAGAGACTGTTGGTGGCTGTTGTGTCTTAATAGCCATCAGAAGCTGGTTGATAATGGGAGTGCAGGTAGGGGGAGGTTTTGGGGGGAAGGAGAAGCCTGCTCTAATTTATTAGAGGCATACATTAGAGGTCTTTGTCAGGAAAGCCTGAATTCCAGTCCTTGACCTTTTAATGTTGTATTTCTCAGTCCTTTTATTGTGGAAGTATGCCATTTAAACTCTTTCCGTGACATAGAAAATTTTAAAAAATGTTTGTGGGGGACTTGATTTATTAAAGTGAGGGCATGAAAAGTACCAAGTTATCTTATTTCTCACTTGATAAAATCTTTACCTTATTTGTTTTCATTCAGAATGTATTTAACAAGCCAAAAGGAACAAACTCTTCAGCGATGCCCCTGTCTCAGGGCCAAGTGGTTGTAAGCCCGCCCTCCTCCAGGTCAGCAGTGTCAACAGGAGGAGGTAACACCTCTGCCGTTTCCTCCAGCTCCATCCGTGGCTCTGCTGCAGCCAGCCTCCAACCTCTTGCTGAACAATCCCAGCAAGTTGCTTTAACCCATACAGTTGTTAAACTCAAGTGTCAGCACTGTAATCATCTGTTTGCCACAAAACCAGAACTTCTTTTCTACAAGGTAAAGAGAGATCATGAAAGGGATTGAATATAAACTTATCCAGTGGAAACACTTTCGTGTTTTCAATTTTGAACACTCAGCTTGCTTTGACATGAAAATGACTTCTTAAAGATAAAGCAACTGTTTAGTTAGCTCTTAATGACTCTTGTTTTTCTGCAGGGTAAAATGTTTCTGTTTTGTGGCAAGAATTGCTCTGATGAATACAAGAAGAAAAATAAAGTTGTGGCAATGTGTGACTACTGTAAACTGCAGAAAATTATTAAGGAGACTGTGCGATTCTCAGGGGTTGACAAGCCATTCTGTAGTGAAGGTAAAGACAAAGTTGGTTTATCCACAGAGCATGGGTTGTTATAATTCATGATGACTTGGGCAATTAAGCCACAATTAGTTTTCACATTCTTTTTGTCTTATGAGGTATAATTAGAAGTATTTTGGAGGCCTGGCACTGTGGCTCATGCCTGTAATCCCAGCACTTCGGGAGGCTGAGGCGAGTGGATCACTTGAGGTTGGGAGTTCAAGACCAGCCTGACCAACATGGTGAAACCCCATCTCTATTTAAAAACCCCATCTCTATACAAAATTAGCTGGGCATGGTGGCGCACGCGTGTAATCCTAGCTGCTTGGCAGCCTGAGGCAGGAGAATTGCTTGAACCTCGGAGGCAGAGGTTGCAGTGAGCCGGTATCACGCCATTACACTCTAGCTTGGGCGACAAGAGTGAAACACTGTCTCAAAAAAAAAAAAAAGAAGATTTTTTGAATTGTGTTTATAGTTAATTCACTTTAAAGTCAATCTTTTTATTTATTATTTTTATTTATTTATTTTTTTGAGACAAGGTCTTGCCCTGTCACTCAGGCTGGAGTGTGGTGGCATGATCTTGGCTTACTGTTATCTCCGCCTCCCTGGTTTAAGGGATCCTCCCACTTCAGCCTCCCAAGTAGCTGAAGCTACAAGAGCATGCCACCATGCCTGGCTAATTTTTTTTGTTTTTTGTAAAGACGGGGTTTCACCATGTTGTCCAGACTGGTCTTGAATTCCTGAGCTCAGGTGATACTCCTGCCTCGGCCTCCCAAAGTGCTGCAATTACAGGCATGAGCGACTGTGCATGGACAAAAGTCAGTCTTTTTAAATGTTGCAATAATTGCAATAAAAAACTGTAAAAATGATTAGATCTGTGGTATTAATAAAGAAAATCTCTTTATAAGTTTAGCTATGACATCAGAGATCTTTTTGTTCTCGCGCTCATTTGTAAAGAAAAGCTTAAATAGTTGCTGCTTCTTGGCTTAAAAAGCTTTTATACCTCTGATGTTTCTGAATATAAATGGCCTAATATTTAGAGTATATTTAAAAGGTGGGGGCCAGGCGCAGTGGCTCACGCCTATAATCCCAGCATTTTGGGAGGCTGAGGTGAGCCAGATCACCTGAGGTCAGGAGTTCTAGAACAGCCTGGCCAACATGGCGAAATGCTGTCTCTACTAAAAATGTAAAAATTAGCTGGGCGTAGTGGCAGGCGTCTGTAATCCCAGCTACTCTACTCAGGAGGCTGAGGCAGGAGAATCACTTGAACCCGGGAGGCGGAGGTTGCAGTGAGCTGAGATCATGCCACTGCCCTTCAGCCTGGGAAAAATGAGTGAGACTCTGTCTCAAAAAATAAAATAAAATGAAATAAAAGGTGGTGTAAGTTTGGTTTGTGAATATAGAGACTGTCTTGTAATCTAGAGGCAAATAATTGTGTAAGTATTAGAAGACCACAGAAACTTCTTATACCTCCTCAGTTAATGTAAATTTGATCTTTCTTCCTTTCATCCCTCTGATCCTCAGTTTGCAAATTCCTATCTGCCCGTGACTTTGGAGAACGATGGGGAAACTACTGTAAGATGTGCAGCTATTGTTCACAGACATCCCCAAATTTGGTAGAAAACCGATTGGAGGGCAAGTTAGAAGAGTTTTGTTGTGAAGATTGTATGTCCAAATTTACGGTTCTGTTTTATCAGGTAAAGGTGATAATATACTTTTTTTGGCTTTCTGAAATCAGTGCAAATTGTTTTCTATTTAAAATATATTCAAATTATGTCAAGAAAAATTTGGTGTTTAGCACTGGATAAAATAAGTTATGGGCTATAACAAAAATTCAGTTGAATATAAACATGAACTCTTTGGGATAAAAAGTATAGGATTTCTGCAGACTTTGTTGTTGATTGGATATGGTCCTTTTATTTTTGCCTTCTTATAAGGCACATTGCCCTTATTTGACTTCTTTCAGGTTAGAACTTCACATAATGTTGCCTGAAGTGGCTCTCTCATTCAGGTTACTCTGAGGAATTTGAAGTCAGACCTTGTCTCACTTCATAGGTCAAAGGACAATAGCTGGCAACTATTCCTACCTCATTTTAAAAAAGATTAACTTTTTGAAAGGCTAACAATGGTAGCTGCAGTTAATTGAACCACTAATACATGTCTGGTGCTCCGTAAGTGTCATTTCATTTAATCCTACCATAGTCCCAAGAGCTAAGAATATTATTGCCATTTTATAAATAAGAAAAAGGAGAGAGGTCCAGGGAAGTTAAGTAATATGCTCTCGAGGAAGCTGATAGGGGACAGGAAGACAGCATCTATAACACTCTGGTGAAATCACTGTTTGCTTGTCTACCTCACCCCCAAAATAGAATTTTATTGTTGGGGGAGGGTAATCTATTTTTCATGATTCTATAATTAGGGCCAATCACAGTGCTTAAGACAAAGGATGTCTAATTAAATATTTGCTGAATGAATCAAAACCTTTATGACTCGAAAGCCCATATTATATCAACTGCTGTAAACTGCTGCTTAATTTTTTTAAAGTTAAACCTATCTTTATTTTTTTTTTACTTATTTTTTTAATTGTGTATCTTTTCTTCCCCCACCCCACGCTGCCCACCCCCCACCCCACTGCCAGACAGA